AAAAAAAAAAAAAAAAAAAAAAAAAAAAGAAAATGCTAGCTGGCTAAGGAGCGTCTTCCTGGGTGATAAAAGAGTTTTGAAACTGGAGAGAGCCGGGGGTCGCGCAGCACTTTGAATACGTTAAGTGCCACTGAACTGTGTCTGTCATGAGTGAAGAAACGAAAAGAAATGTGAGCTGTACCGTCCATGCCGGAGGGCGGGGATTTGCTGAACAGACGAACAGGGGCAGGGCCTCCTCAGGAAGGGGCTGGAACAAGATACGAGGTGGGTGGGGCCGCTGAGCACCCAGGAAGGGCCAGGGGCTGGGTCCCCCGTCCCTCCCACACCGCCCTGCTGCCCCAGGGCGGGGGAAGAAACACATCCGCAAGATGAGGCTCTTCTGTTGTCTTTTTCTCATTATTTAAAAAATATATGTTACAAAACAATATTCATCATATATTTCTTACTCATTTTCCTTTTTTAAAAAAATTAAGGTAATAAAAAAGACACTTTATAAAATAATACAAAAGGGCATGACCGGCAGGGGCTGGGTTGGGGGCTGAGGAATCCAGTGCTTTGCTTCTGGGTCCCCCTCCCCACTGCGGGCTGGAGGCTGGGGGAGGCCACAGCTGGGGCTGACGGTGGGTCCACTGTCTCTGGCTGGGCTCCTGCAGGCAGTGGGAGAGGGGCAGGGAAGGCTGCTGGGCGCAGGGCATCCAGACCCAGGCATGGGGACGGCTGGCGCCCTGTCTGTCCTCACAGAGGCAGGAAGCCCTGCTGGTGGGGGTGAGGTGGCATGGGGGCGGCGGGTGGCCCTGCCCCTTGGCGCTGGCTCCTCCTCCAGGCAGCTCCCCTAGCTTCCGCTGCTCAGCATCCCCAGCAGCTTGCTGGGCTCCAGTCCCTGCTGCTGGGCTACTGTCTGCACATCGAAGCCCATGTGCATAAGGAACTGGGCCACGTTCATCTCCTGCCCCGTGAACTGGTCCCGGATGGTGGGGCATGAGGGGTTGCAGTGAGGCCAGGGACAACTGTCCACAAGGTGGACGGGGCAGCCCTTCAGGGGGGTTTTGCTGGCCTTGTGGCTGTCATGGAGGCTTCTGTCCCAGCAGTGCAGCGCCCGAGGCAGCGAGGTCCCCTTCACCTGGATGTCTGTCCAGTGGCTGCAGACAGAAACCCGGGTGGGGTCATGCGGGCATCACTACCACTGGAGTGGGGTGACTTTTAATTCTTGCCATACAGTTTTGCTGTATAACAAGTGACTTTGGATGCCCTAGAAGGAAACTCTTTACACAGAGCAAGGAGAGACATGTGGGAGGCAGGTGGGAGGACAAATGGGGGGTCGGGGGCAGCCCGTGGCATGTGGAGCTGGTGCTGTGGATGCAAGCTGTCCCTGGGCCCGGGAACACTGACCTCCGGATGATGATCTCGTGGGAGAGGCAGGCGGGGGCGAAGCTGGCCCTGTTGGGGAGGAGATGGACGGCTGTGAGCCCCATGGCCCCCTGTAGCCCCTTCCCCACCCCATATCCCCAGGTCACTTCCCTGGGAGCCTGTCCTCTGTCTGGTCACCACCCCCTTCCTGTGCCATGTCCGGCCAGCTGCTGCTCTGGCCCAGGCCTTGTCCCCACCAGACATGACCCTGCTGACCCTTGTCCTTCTGTGCCTCCAAATCCCTGCTCAGAGTCCCCCTCTTCCAGGCAGGGCCTGCCAGGGAGCAGCAGAAGGCTGTCCTGGACAGGCAGCTACGTTGCCATTTTTGAGACCTCTGTTTTCAAATCAAGTGCAGCTCTGGAAGCGCCGAGCGAGCCCCCGAGCGGGGTCCCCAGCACACACTCACGGCACGTCCTTGAGTGTGTCACGCAGCTCGCGGCCCAGGTTCTGAATGTACAGCCACTGCCCCTCAAGCACCGGCTGCCCCGTGAGGTGCACGTTGTCCACGGTCAGCTGGGCCTCATCAAACAGCCACTGTACCACAAACACCGGGCCTGGGGGGCACATGGCTCAGCTCAGTCTCGCTCAGTGTGTGTGCCCCCCCACCCCGCAGCTCAGAGCCCTGGCTCCTGAGGTCCCAGCCAGCTCCACGCAGGCTCATGCCACCTGGGCTCTGCCCCTGGAATGTCTTTCACCAGAGTGCGCCTTCCTTCTTTGAAACTTGCCCTTCCTTGAAAGAGGACCCTTGTTAACCCTCCTACCACCACCCTGGTCTGGCTCTCAGAGACTCCACTTTGACCGAAACTTGGTGATGATGTCCCCTGGCATATGACCTCACAATTCAGAGTGTGGGGCTGGGAGGGACCGGCCCAAGGCCCCACAGTGAGGAAGGCAGCAAGAAGATTAGGCTCCAAAACACATCCCCAACAGCCAGTGTAGACAGGGTGACCAACCTTCCTACTGTGCCTGGCACTGAGGAGTTTCGGTGCTAAAGCAGGAGAGTCCCAGGCAAAACATAACAACTAGTCACCCTGGTGTAGATGTGGTCTCCTCCCTGGACCAGAGCAGTGGTCACCAGGCCCAGCCTCTGAGGGCTGGCTCCACACCGGTTTCCAGGAGAGATGCACAAGTCAGGACACCCCACCGCTGCCCATGCCCTGGGTGCCCCAATCCGAGCCGGTCCACTCACAGCGCAGGGTGGGGTAGACTTTGTAGCCAAAGAAGCAGTTCCACTCTTCGCCTGCCTTGAACTGGCGCCGACAGCGCTCCGGGACCACCCCGTGCCAGTACCTGGAGCCACAGCTGCAGGTCAGGCTGCGGTGGGCCCCTGCCCCAGAGAGCCCCTTCCCCCACAGATGTCACCACACCCCAGACCCTTTGCATGGGCAAGGTCCCTGTATGGAGAATGGGCCCTCCCTCCTAGGGCACCTGATGCCACGGCGGATGGCCTCTGTGGGTGCGCAGGTGATAGTGTCGATGCAGTCCGTGCGGCGGTACTGCTTGTTGTCCAAGAACCAGCCGGAGTCGGCCAGGCCCCGCACCTGGATGCTGGGGTAGCCCATCTCCTCCAGCTGCTCGGCCACGCGGTCCACGTTCAGCAGCACCCCAGTGCCACCGGCGCTGCAGGGAAAGCTGGATGTGAAGCCACGTGGCTGGGGAGGGGCGCCCATTCACACACCCAGAGCCTCTCAGCCCCCAGCCCATGACCCAAGGAGGGGCAGGGATCCTGATACATTCTGAACTGTGGACATGTTCCCTGTTCACATGCAAGACCCGTGGGCCTTCTGGGGTCCTGGGCTGGCAGGTTATGCTACCGCCTCCCACGTTGTGAGCTGAGCCCTCCCCTCCCTCCTTCCCTTCTTCTCTGACTTGGTTTCCTTATCTGAAAATGAAGATGAACTATGTGGCCTCAGGCCCCTTCATCTGCTCCACCTGTCTCCTGGGTCCCCTGTATGCCGACTGGGATACAGTGAGCGACAGGTGTGATCCCCACTTACTGGAACCCAGGGTCCTGGAGAAGGGGCATCGGTCCACAGCTAATCCCTAACCAACTACCCAGATCACAGCAGCCCCAGCCTTGCCTACATCCAACATCCATTAAGGCCAAGAACTTTATCCAGACGCTTCCAGCTAGAGAGCATTCGGCAGCCAAACCTCTGGGACATCCCTGTGATGCCGGTTCTCCTGTCTCCAGCCTCTGACCCTTCCAGCCATCTGCCAAAGCCTGGCATGGCTGGAGCCACCAGAGCTCCGAGGCCAGAGAACTGGACACTCTGGGTATGTGCAGGCTCTGCCCCCTCCTCTCTCTCCCACCCATACTCCCACCTCAGCCTTGTCCCAGGGTCTGCCCCCCACTACCACTCCCTCCATCCCCACTCCACACCCATTTACCTCCTCCCCCCGGCCCCTGCCGTGCCCACCTGCTCCCGGCCAGTAGCAGCACCTTGGCCCCACTCAGCCCTTTGCCCAGGAGCTCCCGCACCACCTCCTGGATGATGAGGGTGCCCATGAAGGCGTACTCATCTGCAAGGAGAACATGGTAGCATCAGGTGGGGACCTGGGCAAAAAGAAAGACTCCCTACAGATTGGCAGGAGGAGGAGTTCTGGCTCCAGTGGGGGGCTGGGCAGGTCTTCCTGCGGATGGGGCCAAGGGCTGGGGCAGACTGGAGGGAGGTGCGTCAGGTGCATGAGGCCATGCTGCGGACCCCTCCCTGAGAACACCAGGAGGAAGGACCCCCGAAGGGGCCAGGCCAACCAGAGACAAGCAGGCAGCTGTGTGGGGCAGGCACCCCAGGGCATGCTGTTGAGATAGGTGAAAAAAATCACGAAGTTGAAAGTCTGCTTTTCCCCCAAAGCCCAGCCCTGTCATGCAGGAAAGAGAAATCTGGGGAGGTGGGGGACTCACTCTTCTCAGACTTGGACGAAGCCCCACTCCAAACATCACTGGAGCAGTAGGGGATGAAGCTGCAACAGGGGACAGTGTGAGCCCGCCACGGCCCTCTGCTTCTCAGGAAGGACCACCCCGGGACAGGATCCCCCAAGGAAGAACCCCCCCAGGACAGGACGCCCTAGGAAGGACCACCCCAGGACAGGGACCCCCTAGGAAGGACCACCCCGGGACAGGACCTCCCAAGGAAGAACCCCCCCAGGACAGGACCCCCCAGGAAGACCTACCCCAGGACAGGGACCCCCAGGAAGACCTACCCCAGGACAGGGACCCCCAGGAAGACCTACGCCAGGACAGGGACCCCCTAGGAAGGACCACCCCAGGATGAGACCCCCCAGGACAGGGACCCCCCAGGAAGGGAACCCCTTCCTCACGAAAGATCCCCATGCTCTGTCTTACACCATGTTGGCGTTCCACCAGTGGGGATTCTCCTCTGGCTGTGAGGACAGGATCCCCGTGCCTGGGGACACAGAGGAGGTGGGTCTTTTTGATAGGAGGGGGCAGTGCAGGGATGGGGACTACCAGCAGGTGTGGGGGGCGGGGTTCTGACTTGGCCCCAGCAAGGGAGGTGTGTGATGCCCCCTGCCTCAGCCAAGGGTGCTGGGGAAGAGGAGGATGGATAGACTTAGTTATGCCAGAAAGTCACCGTGGCCAAGACGCCCAGGCAGGCTGCGACATCGGATGCGACCTTTCACTCCCCCCTCTCCACCAGCTGCTTTGAGGAGTGGGGGTGAGGGGTGGCGTTACCAGCAGGCAGAGCAGCCAGGGTGAGCACTCGCAAGTTATTTGCGGATGGAGACCCAAGGGTGAGGCAGGTGCCCCTGCCTGAGGGACCTGGGAGCTGGGTTGGGGGGATGCGCGGCCGTGAACGCGCAGCTTCCCCCAGGATCTCAAATTGGGAGCCCCGCGGCCGCGCCTTCCCCGGCCTGCTGACCTGTGCGAGTGCGCGGCCAGTCTTTGGAGCTCATGAGGCGCCGCATGGTGTCGTATCTGGAGTCGCAGTTCTCCCGGTTGAAGCAGTACCAGCCGCCTGCGGGCACGGCCACCAGGCTCAGCGCCCTCGCACCCCGGGGACCCCCGCCCACCCCGCCGCCTCGGCCCCTGGGACGCACCTTCCAGAAAGAGTAGCCACCGCCGACTGCCCTTGGACTCCTTCAGGTAGTAGCTGCAAGGAAGGGTGCGTNGCGCCCCCGCCGCTCTGCTCTCCGAGCCCCAGACTCACATCTTTCCTTTATCTACTTTGGGGCTGCTGGGGGGTGTGGATGTGAATGCCGCACCCAGGTCCTTCCGTACCACCTGCGTCCCCTCCTTGTCCCCTCTGCTGCGTCCGGGATCCCTGGCGGTCCCGGCGCCGAGCTGGGGTGGGGGTGGGGGGACAGCAGGACTCTCCCCGCCCCCGTGTCGCCTCTTCCTGCCGGAGCCAGGGCCACTCTCCGATTGCCATCTCCCCGCCCAGGGACCGAAGGACGCGAGCAGAGCGGCTGGGCACCGGTGGCCAAGGGGTCAGTGCCCCAGCTGGCCAGGGACCAAGGCCTTCAAGCGCTGCCCCAACCCCCGCGTGGCAAGTCACCGAGCGGGCCCTCAACAGGGCCAGCACTGCCGGCGCCCGACGGGCGTCCTCTTCTCTGGGGGCGAGAAAAGCCATGGCCAATAGGGAGGGTCCAGCGCAGACTCCGCGCACCCGAGCGGGGATGGAGACGCGAAGGATGCGGGCACCGTCGCCAATGAGGCGGCCCCAGGCCCGACGGGGGCCACGGGCAGGGGCGCGCCGGCCAGCC